ATAAGCTTACACACAAAAAGCTTACCACATCTAGCTATCAGACTGACTTGAACATATTACGCTTAGAATCCAAAGCCTAAGTTTAAGACTTCTTAAAACACTTAAGGATACATATTTCCTTAAACAGATCAACTTCAAAAGGGAAACCCTCAGACGACCTACTTACAGAGCTGTATTTTATATACTAGCAGACAGAAGAAAATAAGAATAGTAAGTGAAATTGGAAGCTCCCAATGCCATCCCTAATGGCAATGGATTTTGGGAAGTGGCTGCAACAATAGGTTACTTGGACGTTAGCAGGGTGGTGTTGGTGTTTACAGCATGTTTCACAGAGAGCCTACTCTCAGTTCTGATCACAGGGTTCTCTCATCCCAGCTTTGACCATAGTTACAGTAAGGAAGTGGTTTTCGTAGTAATGAATAATTACTTTAACATTAACAGCAGTTAATACTAAGTTAATAGATGGAATCTATTCCAGCTTCTTCCTCAACCCTTTGCTACACTTCATTACTCTCAGACTTCCCTCTTTCCACCTAGCCTGCAATTTCCTCTTTCTGATGCACGATGCCCAGGCAGCTTCCACTGTCTTGTATCTGCCCTAATGCTCCGTGTATTTCTGACTGCTCGTCAATGATCACACTAATTTAATCAGCAGTTAGCCTCCTGTCCTCCTCTGCTGCGAGGGTTGCTAAGACAGGAAAGAAAAGCTAACGTTCTGTTTCTGGCTGCTCGCTGTCCTTTTGCTACAAGGACTCTGAACTCCTTCAGGAACCATCGGAAATAAAGCAAGCCAACATTTCATGACAGAAGCTCCCACCACTACTTCAATAAAACTAGGAAGTCATGATTTAAAATATTCCGTTCGGTCTGTAATAGCAGTAGGATTTTGAATCTTAGAACTGTATTACAGTTAGTCAGTAACAGTGGTCATCGACAGTATTCTTAATTGCCAATTAAAAAAGAAACATGCAAAAGATATTCACAAAAGTTGAGTTATATTTTGGAATTTAAATATCACACGTCATCATCAAAATTCATGAAAATAGCGTACATAACACACAATCCAGCAAAATATTTCATGCTGTGTACATTAATGGTCTCCATTTGTTATTTTTAGTAATTCAGTAAGATCATGGCATGAAGCAAACATACATTTTCAAAGTCTCTTAAACATAAATGTAGCAAACCACTCAGTATCTTTTTCACAATAAGAAACAACTCAGTACAGGTGGCTTAACTGAACCAACTGTTTTTGCAAAGTTCTACTATGTATCTTCGTCAGTCATTCTGCTCCATATATTTAAGTAGAATAAAGCACCCTTTTCCCTTTTTTACCAAGGGTTGCATGTTGCAATTTTTACTCCTAAATAATACATCTATCTCCCATACAGCATTCCCAAATTTACCCTACCTGACTTCTTTGTTCTCCTTCCTGTACACCAATTTCACCTCACTGATGCATTGAAAAAGACCTACAAGGATCATCTATGCTCGCAGTCTGTCCATCCTCAAGCATGAGAACCCTCAAATCTTTGTACTTCCTTTTTTTCTTTAATGGAAACACTTTTCCACATCTACAAGACCCTTCGTAGTTCTATTCCCTGTAAACAATGCTAGCTTTAAGTCCCTATTTGTTACTGTTAAGGAACTTCACACTTGAGTTGGTCTCATAAGACCCCTTAATCTCTTCAAACTCCACACTTGCCTACAGCAGCTGACCTAGAAATAAGAGATGCACTGAGGGGGGTAGCTGTTCATTATGTTTTAAACACTTGCATACAGAGACGATGTCCCCATGCACAAGGACCTGAAAGCAAGAAAAAAGTTACTGCGGTTTTTTGATATGCTGGATGTACAAGTACTGTTTGGAAACTGGGGATGTGAAAAAAACTTGCAAGTCCTCTACCATGTTTAGTCCAAGGTAAACTTGGAAGTCTCTCTCCAGAGAAACTATCGTCTCTGTATGTAGTCTCTTTCCACAGAAACCACACAGTAAGCAACTTTGAAAAATGCTTTGTTTGCACTGTATCAGTATGGAGGGCTTACCCATAACACATGTTTTAAAACCTTAATTGAAAGCAATTGAATTTCTTACCATGGATTACAGCTCTACAAACACAAAAGATTCTGCCATGAGTATTACAAAAATAAGCTGTAACAACAAATACCTTTATACAGGTACCAAAATGTACAGGGAGAGTTTCTACCATTTTTGAGTTACTAATTCTCGATCAATTTAATTATAGTTCTTACATTTTATATGTGTACGCTTAAATCTTTAAATGACATTTAGCCAGTTGTCCTTACCACAAAAAAGTGAACCTGTCATGACTAAACAAGTCCCCAGTACCAGCATGTTACACCAGTGAATCTTCCTGTTTCACTTCAGAGCAAAAATCAGGAAGAGATAGATAGGAGTGACTTTTTAAACATTGACTTGAAAGGGAGAGATTAGGTTAATTTGGCTTTATGTTCAGTAGTAATACTCCAGATTTTTGCTCTGTTTTGTTTTCTAAAGGATGAGAGAAAAAAAAGAGGTTGTTTGTTTGGGACTTTAATGCAGTTTGTAGAAATAAATACTGGAGATTTTTCAATGAGTTTTGTTAATTTCAGCTAGATCACAGGAAGGCAATAACATCTTCGTAGTAGTTCCAAATCAAGCACAACAGATTTTAAAATAATGAAACGCACAGCTATTACAAAAAAAAAAAAAAAACACAAAAAAGACCCAACATTTTTCCCCTCAGAAGAGTTTAAAAAGAAAACAAGCCAGAAAACTACTGTAGCATCAAAGCCAATTAATACTCTTCAGTCATATTAGGATTTCAGTGAAAAATTTTAGCAATTTTCTTAAAATCCGGTGGTTTTTTCCACTGTATGTCTGTAATTGCTAAATGAAGGGAATACTGTATCAGTAACAGTACCTCAGTGTAATTCAATAGACAGAGAACATGGTAAATTATTAGATTATGTCTTTTGCATATTAGCAATATGCAAATGTCCATAATACCACAGCATTTCACCTATATTCTAACACCTACCTTCAATTTACACTGACAGAAAGATTCAGTAAATCAAAGGCAAAGTTGATATCCTTCTGCTCACATTTGCTCAGCTTTGGTTTACTACATATAATACACAGGATTTAATGCAACCTTGGTTGTTTCGAATACATTTTAAAAAGCTGAAACTGGGGCTAAACTAACCTTACTAACACACAAAAAACCCAACTTCTGATTTCCATTATACAGTACAGAAGTTCATCTTTTGAAATCAGTAATTTCCTTCAGACTGTTCAAGACTAATTCCTTCTCCCAGTCTATTAACATATGATGTGCAAAGGACCACTTTCAGATCAGAATAAAGGAAATTTTCCAGTGTGTTAACAGCCTGGGAAAGGAGAAGTTAGAGTGGGACAGTGTTCCTTCCACTTACAAAACTACAGATAGTTCATTTTCCTTCACTGTTATTGTATACATCCGTGCTTCAGGTCACTCCCCAACTATTAAATCCAGCTGAACTTCGGGAGAACTTCAGAGTGTCTTTCCTATCTTAAAAACAATCCCAACACACAAACAAGCAAATACGCTCCTCATATAGAGCCTCATCCTCCAGATGTTTTCATATATGCATAACTCCACTAAATGTAGCTCCACTGAAGCAGAGAGTAACAGATTGTAGCAAAACTAAGCAGAATTGCAAGAGTATGCGGGACAAGTATCTTTGGACAGGTGAAAAAGAAATAAGAGAGGACACCTCTGCATCCAGAAAAGTAGCACAGAATAGCAGCCTATAGGCCTTGCATGTGCATTTCATTCTGAGATTACTATAAAGTAAGATCAGGTATAACGAAAATAAGCGTACTAACACAAGATGCCTGTTTTTATAATCCTGCTACACTATAATATCCCATAACCAGTGGTCTACAGGGCCTCTGTATTAATCCAAAGAGGAAAAAACAAACAGGAATTGTAGGAACACTCAGGTACCATAAACACATGTGTGGTGTGGAACAAGTATTTCCTAAAAGGTACTTACAGATATTTTCTTTATTTTACTTTAACTATTATAACAAATAACAACAGTGCAGCAATAAATATATCTGTACATCACAAATTGTTAATTTTATATAGAACAAAGAAGCACTGATTTAAAGCTTTAAGTTCTATACTTGAATATTTCACTTTATAACTTGGTACAGACACCAAATACAGTACTGACAAAATAGAAAACACGCTTCCAAATTCAGTAAGTAACAGGGATTTTCTGAACTGCAAATGTTACCATTTTTTATCAAAAGGAAAAATCCTACTCCTTCCTCTTTCTAGGAAGCGGGGATAGAAAATAATCAGTTAAAAAATATTGAAGATATTACTACTGTCTAGAATATCCTGTAAAAACACAGGAGACTGACTTGACTGTGAGCACTCTTCTCTAAGCTCCTGCCCAGAAAGGCTCTAGTAAGCCCTACCCTTGATTATCATTTTCTGATTGTTAAGAGTTCTACACAGCAGCTAAATATGTAAAAGCTTTTCTTAATTTCTTATGGAGTTTAGTCTATGAAGCATGTAAACTACACAGTACAGCACCACAATACATGAAGTTATTAAAAGAAAATCTCTGAAACAGCTAATATTGTTAGTAAAAAATCCAGAATACTATTTCATGTTATCAAATGTTGCAGTATGTTTAAAGTAAGTCTGATTTATAAGTCAGTCAGTTTAAAAAAAAAAAAACAACAACAAAACCCACCAAAAACTTTATTTAATCTTTGTGGCTATAAGAAAAACTACCATACCTGTAAAAATAAGAAAACTAATAGGTGTTACAATGCCTAAATGATTGCTTTCAATAAAACTTTCACTTTGGTTTCACTGCAGTCTTCCAAACACGGTACAAGGCACATTTAATGTAACAATCTCCTCAAATGAGCGATAATGGCTAAATTCTAATGAGAAGTTAGTAATTGCTTAAATAAAGGTTAATGAAAGGTAACTCACCACCATCCCTCTCTCTAACTCTGTGAGTATGGACACTTTTTGCTTTACTGTGCCCTGTGTTGTCACCGTATTTGTTTTCAGGGCTATCAGAGCGCCGCAACATTTTATTTGGTGGTGAAGGATCTGTGGCGTCTCGCATCTTGTCATGACGGTGATCACCACCACCGGGGTGACTCTTGGATGAGTACTTAAGAGCCTGTAACAAATCACAAGAGAATAGGCATTTACATTAGATGCAAAGTTACGGAACTGATATGTTACTTCTAAATTTTAGATCTTTCCGAAACACTTTTTGAAGTTAATTAATTTTCATTTCCCATTTAAACAATTTTAATTACCTACATTAAAGCAACAAGTTCTGTAATTAGAACTCAAACCATTTTCTCCCACTATGACATCCAACACAACACTTGCTGTTAAGAAAAATCTAATTTCTCCACCTTTTCACTGATGGACTACACACTTTCGGCAGTAAATGGGCCACAGTACTTCTGCACTTTTGGGAGGAGCACAAGTCCCCATTTCGCATTAAGAATATAAACAGAAAGTTAAAATGGATCAGTGTAAACTTTCAGTATGTCCTCCATACCGTAGTCAAGGCTGCCAGGTTCTCCACTACTTTGAACTTATGCAAGTTTTTTTCAGTACTAGCAACCCTGTATGTAGCAGATGTAACAAAAAACCCCTAGAATTCTGGGAGCCCAAAAACATGTAACGTGACAACTCATTTTGAAGTATTTACAAAAAATTACACATTCTTCCTCACTTTGACCTGCTTGATTTTGCAGTGTGAGCATCTGAGTGGCAAGTGGTTACATTTACATGAACTGTCACTGACAGTTGCCTTGGACTGTCAGATTACACTTCAAATACACAGAAATGTAATAAAACAGTTCAATACTGTGCCCTGTGGAGAGCAATATCACAATATATGGCATTCCCCAGATTCACACCCCGAGAGCTGTTTTTTTTCAGCAGACACAGCAGAGGAATACGGTATCCACCTTACAGAAATTGAGGTTATTGTCAGAAGCTTAAAGATCTGATGGTTTCTGAACATGCCTAGCAGCTGGCAACTGCAGAAATTAAGCCTCACTGGCAACCCTAGTTATTCAGGGTCTAAACCCATGCCCTGCTCAGGTTACAGTCCACAGCAGCAGTTTTGGGGAGAAGAAAGGACTTGGGGAGGGGGGTGGGGGAAGAACAAGATGCCTTTTGTTTTTAAAAGGAAAACACTCACCTCCCCCTGGATCTCCACTCCACTGCAAATGACCCCGGCTCCCTCTCCCGCCCCTCGTACCGTACCCTCCCCGACTCCTAGGCCCAAGCCCTACACGGGTCGCACTAGGCCTCTCCTCCTCACCCCGGCCCCGCAGGCCTCAGAAGAGCGCCGGAGCCCCGTTCCCTCCGCGCGCGGCCGCCGCCTCCCTCCCCCTCC